GCACATTGGGTGCCACATGCCCTTTGTGGGTATGGCCACCCAACTCCTGTCCTATGTTCCTATGTGTTTCCATGTCCCTCCTCAGATCTCATTTGCACACACACAAATGTACACATACACACATGTGCATGCGCACACACACTCTCTCTGCATCTCCCTTGAAGATTTTTTAAAGCCTGATTGGAGCAGGGGAGCAGCAATTTTTGAGGAAAGTTGCAGCATGGGAAACAGAGGGGTTAGTTGCTCTATCCCCAGTGCCCCTCTCCCAATCTGTACCACATGTAGTACTCAGGTTTTCTTTAAAAAAATCAATGGGCACTAATGCAGGCCTTTTAAAAGTCTAAATGCACAAGTGTGGAGAAGAGCAGGGGAAATAATTCCTCTCTGTTCTAAGAGATTTTCAGTAGGAAACATCTTTTCTCTACAAACAGTGTTAAGGGGAAGGACCTGGGGGAGATGCTGGTGAGCTGGATGGAGGCCCCCTCTGTGCCCGCAAGCCAAGGATTCTCCATCTTTGCCCTGAATGGCTTGGGACTCAAATACCTGAAAGAATATCTCTCCATGTGCCAGTCTGCCTGTATCTTAAGATCTCCTTAGGGAAAGTTTTCTCGGAATTCTTCAATATATTTCTTGTTAATAAGGGACAGTGTCTTCTGTGATCTTTCTGGATAACTCCCCTCCAAATAAAATGTGACTGCCAATAACTTTATTGTCTTTTCTGGCACTAGGATAATGTTCTTGTTTTCATGGGCATTCTAGCAGGTTAGTTTATTCGTTTATATGTTGCTGCTTCTAAAATTGTTTAATGACTCTACCATTTGGGGATTTTTTTTGTATTCTATGCCTATGTGGGTTATAATAGTCTTGTTTTGTCAATTGCTCTGATATCTTTGGTTGAAGGGTGGGTTTAACATCTTATGTCAATGAGAACAACAACATGTACTTTGACCTTTTGACCATCTTAGGAATTTATAGCCTAAGCAGCTTCCACTCTGGACTTGATATTTCATCTCTTACCCCTCCGCCCCCATCCACCCCCAAAGCCTGTAAGGTGGCTCACATTTATCAGAGCTGAAGTTGCAAAAGTGCATCTTTTTAAGACCCCCATGGACTTAGTGCTGGAGTCTGCAATTGAACCTTATTTCCCAAGTCTTACTCTAAGCTATCCTGTTCAAAAGGGTGCTGTAGCAGTGTAAGAACTAGACCTGATGAACTGCCTGTGTCAAACTGCTTTTAAAAGCACAGTAACCATTTGTGGGTCACAAGTTAGCCCTACATCACACTAAAGACCAAGTCTGTCTGCCTTGTTTATTTATAGCTTGCCTCTCTGCCCACAGGCATGGAGGTCTTGCTCTCTTCTGCAATGGTGGAATTGTTTACCAAGTGAAGGAAGAGTAACAGACTTTTTCAATTGCTTAAATGTATTGTTGAACATTTACTGCACCTGAGCTGCCCCACATAAATGACATTGTTAGTCCCCTGAATTTCATCAGAATGCCTGTTGTTGATGAAAAATGGAATCAGCAATAGATGGATTAAGACCCAATTTTTAAATCTTTTGCTATGTTGTGAGGAGTGGCACCGGGCTGTACACTGAGGAAAGGTACTGAAAGTTTATACCCATCATAGTGCCACTAGTGAAGTGCCACATTCACAGGCTTATAGCTCATTCAAATCACAGCCAATTTTCACAGGAGCACTCAAAGGCACTTCTTGACAATGAGGGAGGTTTTCCTACCAAATTTCAACTTTCAACCCTTGTCATTTCACAGCTGGGTTCTGTTCTGGAGAAAAAGAGTTGTAATGATAATATTTAAAGTGTATATTTTTCTCCACTTTACTTATATTCAAAAATGGCCCAGACCCTTTTGCAAAATCTTGCTAGAAATAATCAGCTCCAGTATAAAACAAAATCTAGAAAATCTGAGTTGGGAAAATGAAAGTTTCTGGAAATGATTGGTCTGAAATCGGGGTGTCGGATTGCAAATGCTAATACAGGTTTAACTGCGTCGCTACACAAGCTGTTTCCTGGCATGAACTGAAATATTAAAGTCAGATGGCAGTACTAGTATATCCAGAGTGATTCCAGAGGAAAATAATTTTGATTATGGAAAGAAGTTTGGAAATGGAAATTCTTTTCTCCGTGCTGCTAAGAAGAGAATGGCTCTTTAGGAGAATGCAAATGTGTGAAAATAATTTTAAAAGGAGCAGTATTAATGTTCATTCCATTGCTGTCAATATACATGGTGTTTTACTGTGTAAAATAAAGAAAAAGATAGGCCACTGCACAAAGTAGCCTGCTTCAGCTGGAAAGTAACTTGAACAACTTTGGAATAAGTAAAAAATGTAAAATTTCGAGAGGTTTTGAAGTAACAGGGTGATTCATCATTCCCCTCATGAAAAATGGGATATTTGGGGAGACATTGATAAATAAGCTGTACTTATTGTATTAATCTTTACAGATCAAAATCCCTTGGTTACTTTGGAAGAGCCTTCATCAGCCTGGTGCCCCAAAACTTCAACTGCCTTCAGCCCCAGCCAGCATATCAAATGGTTAGGAATGCTGGGGGTTGTAGTCCAAACATCTGAGAGGCACCAGGTTAAAGAAGTTTGCTTTTGGAACATAAAATGTATTGTGTATAACTTGGTTTGCTTATAAAATTCTCTTTTAAAATTAAATAACATTTAAAGATAAACTCGGCAGTTATTGCCTGAATAAACTATGCGTTTAAATTGAATATGATCATTCTATGAGCAAAATAAGTTGTATATAAAATAAATTATACAGAATACATTTTAGGTTCCTATTTTATGGCTGATTAAAGGTAACATAAGCAAGTAGCCCCTGAAACTACTTGGTGAAGTGGTTTGTCGTAATCTGAAACTTCCTGGAAGCCAGAAGAAGTCCTAGGAGCTGGAGACAGAAGAAGATCGATGTACAGCATCTGTTCCTCTTTGTGGGAAAATTTAGGGGACATCCTAAATCTATGTGGGGTGGCATTTTTGGGAAATCTGGTCAAGGACAAAGCTGTGGGGTCTTATTTATCTGGAAAGACTATCTTACTTATAGTAAATAAACATGTTTAGTTCAACATAAGTCAACTGTAGAAGTGACTGAATAAACCAACAATCTCAACCTGTTAATTGAAGGGTGACATTTTATTCCCATTTGTAAACAATTCTGTTTAATAAGCACCCTATTTTTGCTTTGTTTCGAAAAGCTGCCTTTACTGTTGCTGGTTTTAAGCCAGTACCTACATCACAGGAACCAGGCTTCTGATTCTTGTAGGTGGAGAGTGTTTAGGCTGGTGGCAACAGTTAAAGATGTTGTAGCGGTGGCAGTATTCACTAGTGGGGAGGTTGATTTGGGAACTTTATTAAAAACTGTGGCAATAGCCCAGTCTACAAAGTAATTTTTGAAACAAGAAAGATAGCTGGAAAAACCCACATGGTGTTCTGTTTCTTTCACAAATAAATTTTTAGCTTAGAACAACATTCATTGACTGCTACAGTATCTAATCAGGTCAAGACCGAAAATACAGGGCTCTGTAGAATAAAATGCAAACTGTCCAGATTGAACATTTTCTTCACATATTTTTATTTATTTATTTTAAACTTTACTGCCCATACATAGACATCTCAGGATGGTTTACAGCCAATATGTGACAAATAATAAATACTGTGTTACTAAACATCTTAGGGACTGAGCATGGCTTGGAGCACTAAAAGTTTATCAGTAGAAGAGACAATAACAGTAATTGTTGTAAGGCATTAAAGATAAAATTAAGCTAGAAACCTTATGGAGAGGATTTTAAAATAAATGTTTTTCTCGCGGCTTCAGTATTTCTTGAAATCTTACACCTCTGATCTTTTTGTAAAAAGACTATTACATAACTATTACTATTATGTAACTTTCAGAAATTATTTGGGGCTATAAAGGGGAATAGAAGCTGAGCAGCAAAATATAAATCTGTTGAAAACATTGGATTCATAATTTAAAATATAATCCACAACTGTTCATTTTTTCCCCAAAAAATCTCTCTGAGGGGAGAAAATGCCTGTGGGTCATCATTCTGGGGGTGGCATAAAGTCATAGTGACCATTAATAACCCATGGTGTCCATTTTTTCTATCCCCCTCCGCTCAGACCACCCTATTTCTAGAACTGTTAAGAGTTAAGGTAAAACTGGAAAGAACAAAGTTTAGACTGTGTGAAGGCTATACACATTGCATGTACCCATAAAGAAGTAAAAATACTGTGTGGAAGGATTCCGATTACACATTTCATTTATTCCAGATTAAGATCTGCCTACACATTCAGCAGACTGCAGTGGTAACCCTCTTGCATAAAGTTACCCCTGCAAGTAAAAAGCTAATATGTTCTGAAGACAAGTTCAAATGTAGCCTGTTGTTTATTATGGTAGTTCTCTGCTTGCACACTTGTATGTTTAGAGGAGCATTAATAAATGTGGTCGATACACATGAAGTGTTTTATCCCATTGTATTACTTCAGAAAACTGTCACCACATCCTTCTTTGTAGACCAGACCAAAGAGTGTCTACCAGTGGGCATTTTGTCTAAGTGCTCAAAATCTTGGACTAGCTTGTTAATGCTTTCTTCCCTTAGAAATGTTCGCGTGCTTCCTGTAACAGCTTTCTGCTCAGTGGAGACTGGTGCCTCCCACCTTAGCAAGGTAGTGTATCAACCATACCCCCAGAATAGGTTCAGCACCATGGATAGCTCATTAAAAGTTCAGGCTACAACCCAAAAGGCACACAGTGCTCCATCCAGCCTCCAACTGCTTCTGATATTGAACTATTCTTTTTGTGTAATCCTGATTTTTCTCGGGGCAGCAGGCATTTTGTAACCTTAGCTTCTTGTTTGTTTGTGTGTTTGTTTATAAGGTATAGAAGTGGTGGTAGTAGTAGTAGTAGTAAGTCTTTTGTCATGTTGTGTACAGGATCCACTGGGCACTTACACAAATTTTATATTATCTTTTAGGTTGGCATGACTACAGAAGAAATAGATTGCATGGTTCACCATGAAATAATCAGGCAAAATGCCTACCCATCACCTCTGGGCTACAGAAATTTCCCAAAATCTGTTTGTACTTCGGTAAACAATGTGGTTTGTCATGGGATTCCTGACAGGTATGCCATTTTTTCCCTGTTGCAAAATGAAAATATTATGGTAATGTGTATTTGTTTTTTCAGTGTATGCAAGTAAAAGGAGAATGCATGGATTCCACCCAGTGCTAGTACAAGGGTACATGAAACTGTTTATTTCATGGGCTTGCTCTCATGCAAGCTCTGGCCTTACTGACATTAAAGGAGATCACACGGCAGCCCTGCTTCGTGGTCGTGCCCTTTGTACTTTTAGCAAAAGCTACCCCCCACCCCACCCCCAGTAACCCTAATACAGCTGGTTGTCATGCTGTAAGAAAATTATGTTGGCACATAAAGAAGGTGTGTAGTAATAAAAACAATGATTAGTGCTTTGCCATATTTCTTCCCAGCATGTCACAGCGTCTCAGTCTAGGGTGTATCATCCAAGAGAGAAAAGTCACTTGGCAGAAAAATGATACTAATTTTTCCAGGTGCCTAAAGGTGGTTGGTGTGTGTATGTTTTAATTAAACATTGATGGCTTGTTAATTTTCAATGAATATTGCCTGTTCAGAACATAAAAGGTACCAGCTGTCATGGTCTTCACTGTAGTAAGAAAAGCATGGCTACAATTTTCCTTCTTGGCATTTATAATCCCGAGTTCTTTTTTTCATATAAATTTCTTGTTTGGGGGTCATTTATACTGGTGGGAGCTTAGAGATTAGGAGTGGTTATTTCATTTCCCTTCCCCCGTTCCGCTCAAGCATTTATATTTGCGCCTTTTAGTTTTGTTTAGGTGTATGTGTAATGTGTGTGCGTTCTTTTATTTCTTTCTTGAGAACTGCTTGTCACCATTATGTATTGCATTTCCCCCCACCCCATTTTAGCCGCCCTCTCGAGGATGGTGATATTATCAACATCGATGTCACAGTAAGTAACTATTTCATAATAGTCTTTGATCAACTTCTAGAATTTCTAGTAACAAGAGGAAGAATAGTAGATCGCAAATGTAGCGTGCACAGATGAATGTGCCCGTTTTATTTCTTCTAAGCCAAGGCACCAGCAGCTGGTTTCCTCTTTTGTTTTTTCCACTCTGTGTTTATTCCAACTAGACCCAGGCCTGACTTGAATTTAGGGCTGGAATCAGATGCACTGAGATCAATGTTGGCCTAAGTGAAATGTCAACCCAATCCTGCTATGTGTCATGTTTTTGAGAAGGTGTAATTGTTATTGATCCACTGTATAGTTAATGCAGAGCACCACAGTACTGGGCAGCAGCTGAAGACAGATATGTATGAGATGAGCTAACATGAAGAAAGCCAGCATTTTTCCTTCACTCTGCCAAGATTGATCTTCCTCTTCCTGCTGATTTTGAGTGGGGCCTGTCATTATCTTACTCTGTCATTAGAGGCTACATTGGCCTGTGTATGTCAGTCTATTTGGACAGCAACTCTTTTGCTAGCAGTGTTCCCTACATTTATTAAAATCCCCGAAGGTAGCATTGTGTTCCATTTGTGGTATAAGAGCCTTGAACTCTTTACTCACAAATGCACAACTTGATCCACAGCCCTGTTAATCCAAGGCGTTTCCCATGGGATCAAGTCCGTTAAAAACCCAGTCCTTTGGGTTTTGGATCCCATTGTAGGCATGAGATAGGACCACTGAGAGAAACCATTGATATTAACACTTAGAGTCCATGTTTACAATATAGGTCATAAGTAGAAAATTAACTACATAGAAACCAGAAAAGCTAGAAGCATGAATTGAGAAATTTTTCAAGATCAAAAAGGAATAATGACACTTTGGCAATATTTTATACCTAGCTTTTATTTAAGATTAATGTTGAAAAATAATTAACTTTAGTTATTCCTTCTCAGTAGTGTGCACTTGTCCTGAATTTCAAATTCATTTGATGTTATTAACCTTCCTGGAGTTAGAAACTTTATGTAAATTGAATCATAAATTTTGGAATGGCAAATACTTTCTTGCTGCCTACAATTATCTAACCTTTATACCATCCTAGGCTGCCTTTGTTTTCAGTCATATTTTTCTTTTCCCATTTTTATTTTTTAATTATCACTGGGGGCTTTGGTTGCCTTATGTGTATGGAGATCACCAGCCAGTCAAGGATGATTTTAGAATACTGATTTAATAGGAATTATATGTATTGTATAATTTAAGAGAAATCTTGCTTAAGCACATACAGGGTTTCTTAGTACCATGACAATAATTCCTTGTTCCCCTTTCCAGTTATGACTAGCACAAGTAATGCAAAGTCCATGGCTTTAATCTCTGGAATCAAGCTTTTTTATTATAGAGCAGATATGCATTTAGATATTTTGACCTTTATCCTATAAGTTTTAATGTTTGTTGTTCTGTTGTTATTTTTGAATAAAATAGGGTACATTGCTCTCTGCACAGTCCTCAGCTGACAGTGTTAATATCGTCCATTTACTGCTAGTGGTGTATATCATTCAAAATACATATGTAGGCCTAATCTGCAAGACTTAGTTGCTAGCATGACTCCTTATCACAGACAAACTGAATGTTAAATACAAACATTTATAATGTCTTAGTGGAGTAAACATGCAAATGGAAATATCTGGAAGGCAAGGAGCTTGGTAAGAAGATTGGAGTAAAAAACTGGAGGTAGGGAAAGGATTAAGCCTCCCTCTCCCACTGTTTCTCTACTCAAAATTGCACCGTTCTAAAGAAGCTTTTCTGAACACGACACATCCTTCTGAGCATGGCTACATTAATGTTTACCTTTGCCTCTAAAGGTAGCTAAAGTTTCACCAGTTATCTTTCATAGAGGGTGTCAGCCTAATATTGCCATGAACTAAAGCAGGGGAAGAAAAAGGGCCTTTGGGCACTTTGAGAAACAGCTCTGGCCATCATCTTCTTGCTAGCTGGATGCTGCAGGGGTCTTCTTCATTTCCTAAGAATATCTCTGAGACGCATGTGTAGCCCAGATGTGTCATGGGAAACGAAGCTGATAGTGGCACTAGGTGCTCCCTTGGTTTTGAACCAATCATAAATGCTGATGCTTTGTAATTTTTTAGAGTGGAAGGGGTAGGGCGTTTTGGAGGGCAGCGAGAAAGGTGTCCAAGGATACCCATGGACTGTGTTGCCCACCCCAGACTAAAGAATGATTTGGCTCGTTCATATGCCCAAATGAACTTTTCTTCTATGAACATGCACATTGTGGGTTATTATTGATCGTTATGACCTTACGCCACCCCCAGAATTAGAGCTGCTATGCTCATGTCCTGCTTGTGGGGTTCCTGTGGTCAGCCCTGGTGGGAAACGGGGGGTTGGACTAAGGAGTCTTCCACTCTGAGCTCTTCCTTTTTTCTTATGCCTCATGATGAGCCTCATTTGCGGTAGAGGGGAATTTGATAAGCTGCCTGTGATACAGCATCAGCCTTTGCTGTTTGAAGGGAAAAAGTCAGAAGCCTACATGCACAAACACAGCTGCAAGGTGATCCCAGTTTGTTTTGACAGAATCTTTATGAGGGGAAAATATCATACTACTTTATGAAAACTACTTTAATAAAAAGGTACTCATGGTAGACATGAGAAACAGAATTTTTCTGCAGAAGGAAATACATTAATCTTTTACCTTCATAAACACCCCTAAGAACGTGTTGCAAACACCTCCCCTTGTTGCCTTGTTTTTTTGTTTGTGCTTCTACAGTATTCCTCAGCTGTGCTTGGTCCCCTGTTTGTTTGAAAAGTCAGACATCCCTCCCAGCACGTCTAAAATACCTCTTTGGATCCTTGCCACAAGCTGCAATCCACATACTTTTGGCATGCCATGCACATGTCCCACAAGATTATTGACCTTCTTTCTTTGAGCAGCAGAGTCACATTGCAAAAATGATTTTGAAAGATCCCGTCAGTTTCAGAAGCAGTTTGCTATATTGATTTATTTGCATTAAAGTTTTATATTGCATTTGTATTCCAAACCAACTTGCAGTTCCATACCATGCAATACAAACAATCCAAGAACAGACTACAGGCAATTAGGATACTGCCTTCAGGAAAGCAGCAGCCTGGAAGGGATGGCAGCTCCCATCGGTGTCATCCATTCAGTGCCTGTGGTGAGCCCTGGCAAAAGCCGCACCATCACCCACCCTTTGCATGAAGCATCAGATGCCCCTTTCTCTAGGCCATGAGGCTTTTCCTAGACAGTCAAAACATGTTATGGCATTTGGGAAAGTGAGGGACTACTGTCCGAGGAAGTGCAGAGCCCCCTTGTGACATGGAACCACTAGCAAGGTTCTTTGGGTCCTGATCTCTCACTGATCTCTAACAGACATTGCATTGTCCCATTGAGTCTGAGCATTCCGATGTTACCGATCTCTGGTAGCTCTCATGATCCAAATGGTGGTTTGGGCCACTGCAACTGCTAAAGCATTGGTTCTTCTTCCTGCCAGTGCCTCCATGTCCCCAGATTCTACTTTTTCTTCTCTTTGGCTAGATATAAAGTTGCTGTTGCACCGGCACTTGTGATGGAAACAAAAGCCTCCCAGAACTAAGATGTATGAGCAAGCCATATGGGAGCAAAAACCTGAGAAATTTTTCTGACTTGGACCTCCAGATTCTTTCTGTTTCCCTAAAGCTGGCCCCAGTTTAATGTGATATGGCATGCAAGATTTCTGTTTTCAAAAACAGACTGTGGTTCATTTGATTTTACTTAATTTTTTGTAATCTCAGGAAATTTGTGTGAATTGAGGAGCCTGAGATTTGCACAAAAAATGTGTAATTGTCAATTTAGCCTAGTTCAGCATTGGTACTGCTTCTTGCTATGGTTCATTAGTTTGTGCAAATCAAAATGACACATTGTATTATTAAATTTTTAATTTCTATACCACTCCCTAGCTGGAGCTCTCAAAATAGTTTGCAACAATCCATTAAAAAAACACAATAAAATACCTTAAAATGTAAAGGTCTTAGGCATGAAGGGCTCTCTTAACCTGGTGCTGAAAAAGTGACAAATTTGGGGCCAGGCAAGCTGCAGTGGTGATTGTTCCATAGATGGGGCCACCACAGAGAAAACCCTCCCCCTTTTTACCCTCCAAACTTCCCTCAGAGGTGGAGTGCGGAGGTGAGCCCCAGAGTGTAGCAAGTAAATTGTGCACATGGGTTTATGGTTTCTTAGCCTTCCCCACTACTCTCATTCTTCCCACCAACATTATTGCCAATAATGTTTCTTTGTCTGTCTGTTTTAAAGCTAAGGACAAATTTGCACTAATTTCAGGCTCCAAAATTTCATCAGCTTTAAAGAAAGAAAATGTCACACATAATATTTGTGGGGGGAAAGGGGGGCCGTGTAGGAAGTCTCTAAAAACCAAGCTCCCACTTGCACAAACCAAGGCAGCTGAGCAGACACTGAAAATGATAATGAAAAATGAGCGTGTGGGATGTACTCAAATCACAGACCACTCGTGGAAAACAGTGGTGCCAGTGCTGAACTGGATGAAATTGATAATGGCGTGTTCTTTATGAAGAAAGGAATATGGAAAGAGCTACGGGCAAATAGTGAAACTAACAAGGATATTTACCAAGGGAATATGCTACCTAACAAACTTGCAAATGCAATAAAATATTTAAAACAAATGTAAAAATGTAGGCCATGTTTGCAGAAAGAATCCTTTCTGCACAAATCACTATTTATGTAAATGTTGCTTAAATACACAGATATCAGTTCTTAGTGTGTACAAGTATTTTGTGCCCATTACTGGATATGTGTGTGTCCCCCACAACCCAAAATAGCTAGCACAGTTCCCTTCTGATAGGAAATGCTGTGTTCCCAGCATCACATATGTGGGGCCATCCACACTGTGGCCAGCTCTTCACTCCAACCCGTTTGTTGGTTCTGACACTTTATCCCCTTCAGGCTGACTCAGTACATTCTGGCAGGAGACCATAAGGCCAGGCACGGGTGTGTTAGGCTGCACTCCTAAGCATACTTTTGTGAATGTAGCTCTGTTAAATTCAGTGGCACTTCCTTCTGAGTTCAGGTTTAGAATCTTGAGTATAAGGCGGAAAGTACATTTTTTTCAGTGCAGCTCTTTTTGTTATTATTTAACTGAATAGTAAGTGTGAGTGTTGATCTAGCTGAGGACCCAGGAAAGGGTGTTTTAATGCTTCCCTCTGCAGTTGCAGTACCACCCAAGACTGCCCCCTTCCCTGTGTGGCAGTGTGCAGTGGTTAAAAGCCCTGCTGGTGCATTTGGGAGAGGTAATGGAACTCAGGAAGAGAAGAGTAAACCCTCCTTCTTTGTTCAGTGTCATCATGCGGTTGGATCCAGAAGCACCATTCTACCAACAGAAGGATACCACTAGTTACGGAACTTCCCCATACTGTCCTTGCCTCCTGCAGCCCCACATTCACCCTCCAAATGTGTTCTGTAAAGTGGGAGGACTTTCTGGAACAGATGTGGGGAGAGGGGGGTCTGCTGGGGGTGGAGAGGATAAGGATAGCCTATTCTTATAGCTGTTGATATATCCTTCTACTGGTAGAATGATGCTTCTAGTTACAACCCTCTATCTCAATTCACTTACTTCGGAGTAAAATTAATTAAATTTGACCATACATTGCAGGTGTAATCTTGTTAATTTCAAGTTTATTCCTGCAGAGCCGTGTTTACAGGAGATTCATATTGAATTTTATGCCCAGGTCTAAGTTAAGCACAGTGTCATTGGCCTTCCTTTTGAAATAATATTTAAATACAAGCATTTCATAAAATTCATTTCACATTTTCAGTGTTCAGAAAGTGCCTGCTTTTAGTGCAAAGCTGAATTAGCAAATAAAATGTCCAGTAATAACTACTTCCTGCAATTATTGATTATCTTCCTTTTGCTATGATGATTAGCATCCCAGTGAATATCGTTGATCTATAATAATGAATATCTAATCTGTCTGATGAAGCCTTTCTTGGCAATACTTTTAATTGACCTTTCTAATGGGCATAACTGGGCCATTTCATAGGTAGAAACAATTACTGTAGTCCAAAAAAAGGACAATTACAGGAGATGGCATTCTATAATATTGTGTTTATGCTTGTATATGAGATCTATAAAATGATTAAATAATTGTCTTCTGTCTAGCAAGTGTAAATGCTCTTCTGTGAGTACAAATTGAAATAACAAACTAAACATATTTTATTATATTAATTTGTGAGGATTTTAAAAAAAAAACTGCAGTGGACAGTGTTTCATTTACTGCAATCACATGGACTTCATATATTGTTTAAAAATTATAGAAGCCAATTCTCTGTACTTCACTGGCCAGCAACACATTACATCTGTTTAACCAATAATTATCTTGTAGGACTATTGCATATCTTAATAGACAGTCATAATTCTAGCACTGATGTTTTGAAAATTATTATATTCTATTTACTGTAACTGTTTTTATGGACCTTAAAAACAGAAATTAGGACAGATGAATTGTAGCTGTAGTTAATTCTTACATTGGTAATGTTTTATTATCTATTCTAGGCCTGTATTTTTCAAGCCTGGGAACAATGGGTGAAATTATAAATGCTTATAGTATTGATTTTTAAAACGATGCCTATTTCTTTGGCATAGACCTGGTTTGGGTGATAGTATGTTTCTCTGTTTGAAGGAATGAGATGTATCATAGTAAGCAAAAGGATGCTAAAAACTGTCCTAACTTTTGAAGCAAAAAGGCAATAGAGATTTTATTAGGTAGAGGAAAGGATAACTTGGATTGTGAGACTACTCCATTAAATGTGAAAAAGTAAAACAAGTGTGCAGATGATGGAAGCTCTTAGCCCAATCCTGCTGTGCCAGTTACACTCATGCTAGAACATCAGGACTGATGGTTTGCACCCAGTGGGTACAATCCAGAGAAAACTAGGCTGCTGTCCTATACACATTTATCTTGAAGCAACTTCCATTGAACTGACTTCTGAGTAGATATGTCCAGAATTCTACTGCTAGATAAGGAGGTCTCCTCAGAGTTGAGTCAGTGGGCCTGTGTCATCTTATGCTTTCAGAAGCAAGTCACACTGAGTTCAGAGGGATCCCCATCCTAGAAAGGGTGCACAGGATTGTAATGATCAGTGCACTGTTTAATAAGGCAATCTTACATATTTTTTATTAAGAAGCAACTCCCACAGCAGTGCAAGATTTTAGAAAAGTCTGATTGTGGGTGGATAATTGAAGACTGGAAACTGTGGGCCATGCGTGGAGCCTTTGCCTACAGGCCACTAGTTGCCCATGCATCTCCTCCAGCATTCAGAGGGGCTTATTCACCTGAAGGGAGGTTTGTTTAAGATGGTAGCTTTAAATGACTGTCCAATGTACACCTGCCTGGGAGTATATCCAATTCAGTATAGTTCCGTTTACTTCTATGTATGACCTGGGGCCGTATGGCTACAACCTTGTATATGCTTATTTGGAAGTAAGTATGCAGCAGAATGCATTTCTGAATAAAGATGCATATGTTCAGGCCGCAAGTCACACTATTATTGGAAGATAGTATGCCAAACTGTCGCTGACATTCATTTTCTTTAAGGTTTCTCTCTCTCTCAATTTGAAAGTCGCTTCAGCTTATGCATATTTCCTTGGAAGTAAGTTTCGCTCTGTGCAAAGGGGCTTAGTTCTCTGGAAGCAAGCGCTGAATATCTCAGGCTTTATATGGCTCAGTCTCAGAAAAGTAGTCTGCACTTAAGCTCAGGAAGAAGCATTTCAGAAAGTGATAGCCAATTAAAATAATGCTTCTCAAATACATTTCTTAGGCTGTAGAGTAGCTTATTGTGTGTTGCTTTTTAACTTCAGATAGTAAAACTCTACAATGCTATGATGGAATTGTTGTCCATTGAGAAATCTATACAGTGCTCTAGCTTAAAACTATTTAGTTACTGATAAAACCCCCAGTTGCTTAATACCATATTGACAAAAATAAGGCTTTGTTTGTTTGAGAGCATTTCATTTCTATTACAGAGAAGTCCATGCTGCTGCCATTACCAGTCTTTCCCCTTATTAAAGAAAAATCTGGTCAGATAAAGAAAACAAACAAATCCCTATAACAATAAATAGTTATAGGCACTATTTTTAAAGGTGGTGACTAAAAATGGCTCACTATATTCAAACTATAGGTCATAATAAAAGTGGCAATCCAATTTTTAAATATTATTACAGCTCGATACATACTATAGGATACATGCTAGCAAATACTTTATACCACACACTTGGTAATGGAAACAACAGGTGGAGTCCATAGGTACACTTTATTGAGAAGCTGAAACTGGAATGAATAGCTGCCCACATAGGGGATAAAGGTTGTGCACTGTACTTTTGTTTAGTCTATGAAATACTTATAAAATCCAGATGTTATGTTTTCTTATGCAGAGAGGACATGGGGCATTGTAATCCCCATAGATGCTGTGCTGGCATCTTTTCTCCCATTAATTGGTCCTGATCACACACCCCACATAGTACTAAGGTTAGGCGACGTGTTACCCACCAGTTTTTAGAGGATTCCAAATCCCATCAGTCCCAGTCAGCATGGGCAGTGGTGATGGGAGCTGTAGTCATGCAACATCTAGAGAGTGTCAGTTTGCCTACCTCTAGAAAAAGGAGGAGGGCGTTCAGGACAAGGGTTGTGGGATTCAAATGTATTTAGCAAGTAGTTTCTCCATGCAGGAGCCTGTTCTTCAGCTGGTAGCCTGGATCTGGCTCACACAGCGGATTATGCCTTCGCAGGCCTCACCTGGATTATGCCTGCCCCAGCCTCACCTCATCAGTTTCATAAAGATAATATGTGCATCTTTTTAAGCATTTCCAGTGTGTCTTCTGGCTTCTTTCCTACATTTACTAGTTGGGAAAACCCACATTTATGCCTTACAGTTATGACTGCTAAAACCCCATTGATGCAAATGAGATTTGAATAGCCTCACTGTGCAACCTTTAACAATTTTCATTTACAAAATCTGTAGCTGAGATTCAGTTAAATGTTGTTGTTTTCCCATTATCATGGCTTTCTTACTCCTCCTTTGTTTTCTATGATATACCTATATTTTTTCCTATACCTGTATCTATACCTGTCTTTAAATGTGCATGAAAAAAACAAGAATGTACTTTATTTACAGTATCATGTAAGAGTGTCAGTAACACATGGATGTCTCTTGCATTTCTGCATGTGTTTAGGTATATTTCAATGGCTACCATGGTGACACTTCCGAAACAATGTTAGTGGGGAATGTGGATGAGTCTGGTCAAAAGTTAGTGGAGGTTGCTAGGAAATGTAGAGATGAAGCAATTGCAGCTTGCAGACCTGGGACTCCTTTCTCTGTAATTGGAAACACAATCAGGTAAGCCTTATACTGACAAGTAAAGGGAAGGCTGGCAAGTGGGACAAAGGTTATTGGTGGTTTGGTATAAAGCTGATGACATGTTTTATGATTCAGAACCATCATTTCAGTCCGATATCACTATGTGAACTGCCAGGCTGTAATGTTGTTACCTGGGTAAGAGAGGATTTAAAAAAGTAAATTACACTAGGCAGGGTCAGTGGAGATACCTGTGGAAAGAGCCAGAGACATTTCTAAAACTGGCTGCTGTCTTACCTTTAACTGGAATGATTGGTGGCTTTTTTTACTATCTTAATAAAATCATGTTAGACATACTGGAGCTGGGGATTCATGCATTTATTAGATGGTCAATCGTGCCAGCAAGGAGTTTAGAAATACAATGAAGAACTGCTAAAGATCTCTAAAAAGATCCAGTCTTAGGATAATATTTCCCTTTTTATATCTAAATGCATTCAAATATACAGGCAGGAGACCTCCCTTTAGGAGCTCTCCTCTTCCTTTTTTGGGGGGGAGTGGGGAGACATCGATCCTGGTGCAGCATGACAAACCTGTAGTGGCTAATCATGTTCCTGATGATTAAAACGTATTACTGAGTGTGTGTTTTATTCTGCCTGCAGAATTTTCTTTGGAAGTTGCATCATGTGCCTTTTCATTAATATTTGTACAAATGCTGTTGAGGGAGAAATTGGATGAATCTTGATGTCTGTAAAACATGCTTTGCTCAGAATCCTGAGGAGATGCTGTCTTCCCTTCCCCCCTCCCCAGCCCCGTATGAATCTTCCAATACTTTAAGAGAAATAAGAAAAGAGAGCAGCAAAATATCAGTTTGATGTATTTATAGCTTTAAAAATATTGTAACAGAGTCTGAATCAAACTTTAGTAAAACCACTTTGGGTTATATCTGAGAAGCTTTTATTGAAGACTTTGTATAAAATTGTGTTTTTGACAGTTTTAAATTATAGGCTAACTAGCCTGGGGAAAAAGGATAGTGTCTTTCTGTTCTTTCATAGGAAATGTTGAATCAGACCCCTACTGGGAAAAGAAATTTAATGCATATCTCACTATCTTACTGTCCATGAATATAATAGAAGTGAATTCAAAATGTAGTTTTATTTTTGCAAATGGGATGAGTCAATGGATGCACCTCCATATTTTTGAACACCTAGGGTTCAACAAATTTACTGGTGGTGCTCTTGCATTTTAACAAAATTTATTCTCAAGTCAAAGGGGGCACAGGAGACGAGATTCTTATTCAAGCATTCTCTCCAGCTCTGCATTCATGGCTGTGTCTAAAGGGCATGTCAGCCTTTGATTCTCTCTGAGAGGTAATTATCCTTTTCCTGTCACGGAACAACAAATGATAGCTAACTACAGAGGCACATTTGCAGTAGTCACATTCATCAACTGCAGGGGAAAAAAATTCAATTTAATTGTGCAACACAGCTGCACATAGGCTTTTTGAGCATTTCTGTTGTTCTCCCTGTCTTGCTATTCCTCCCTACCAGATCTATTTTTTCAACTTTTTTTTCTCCTCCCTGCTTATTTTTCTCCCCCCCTTTTTTTGTCTCTTCTTCCATTTTTACTCTCTGTACTTTCTTGTTAAAGTAATTTTCCTTTGTGGCTCTCATTCTTCCCCCCTCCCCCATTGAAGGCTATGAATGTAGAAAATTATCACAATTACTCATATAATTGAGCCCCTTTGTAGCAAGTGCAACTCCAGTAGCCTTTCTCCATCATGAAAATGGTTTCATTATAGGGTTTTTCATATTCTCTGACACCATCTACACAGAGGAACAGGCGTGCAGATGAGATGTACTAGGAATAGGGTAGATCAGGAAGGTCACAGTGGGAATAATTAGCTCTGCTATGGAAAGAGCATCTAGGCCTTTTACTGCTACATAAATGTACTGTCCGTGGCTTTTAGTCACAAAAAAACTTACTAACAAATGGAGCTCCCGCCTACTACTTTGAAAAAAAGATTTGTATCAACACTACAATTTTCCATCATTAAGACTAATAACACAGAGCCTAGTATACATCAAGGGGAATAAAAAGAAAAATCTCACATTCAAGTGGCGACTGGGTGCTGACCTTTGTTCCCCCTTTTTTGTGTACGACTTAACTCTTTACAAAAAAGAGCCACACGCCACACCAACACGCAGGTGAACTACAGCCAGTGCTAGCAAAGTACCGCGTTTGCTCAGAAAATCTGATAAATCTCCATGCAGGATAATGTGTTTCATTAGATTCACTACATTAATTCTAGCTGTATTTAAAGAGAGAGGGAGAAGAACAGAATTGAAAGTGGCATTCGCCTCTCCTGTCTCTCTCTCTTTCTCTCTTCTCTTTTTTCCCTTTCTTCCTCCTCTTTTTTTTTTACTATGTTCACGCAGAGGTCAGTATTTTCACAGCATGTAAATGTATATGCAAAGCTCTGTTGAAAAGCAAATTAATCTGGATTGGACTGCAGTCACAGTCGCATACAGAATGACAGACTATGATCATCTGGGCTCCCCCACCCCCAGCTTGATATTTTATTCCATCTTACAATGTCCTAGTTTTGTTTAAATCTTCATGTATCGAAGGATTTTCCAAGCCTATTGCAATCCCGTATCTATAGGGTTTATCATTTTATTTTCATGTCAAGACAGCCAGTATTCAGTGGGGAAAATATAAATGTTTCTGCCTTGCTGGTATTGATTGGGAAACCTGTAAAGATTTGAATGTGCGCCTTCTTCCCACAAATGCACTCTGTATGTTTATGGAATATATTTTAAGACACCTTGAAAAGCACATTATGCTAATATGTAGAAAAGATATGACTAGATTCTGCAATCCAGAATGCTATTTAATCCTGTGACTAGAACTTAAAGAATCATACTATATTTTATTGTATGTCTAATAAAGCAAATGATTACATTTACAGAAATTATAATGACAATTATTAATTGCCTAGGCAGAGGAAACCAATCAATTTTTGCTCAATCCTTTTGTGCTGATCACCAAAATTCAGATAATGGATAATGGAAACATAACCAGATTTGAACGTTCTTTGCATGTACCTTAGAAGGTTTATCGGTTAAATTTATTAAAATCATGCAGAAATTACAGTTTGCAAGATAGCGAGTCAAGATCCCTGAAAGTGGTCCTCTGGAATCAGAGAAATACAGACATAGTTACAGTTAAATCAAGCCAAGTTTAAACTTGTAGTTAAAATTACTAAGATAAGAGTATCAATAAATGGTTTCTAAATGTTTTAACTTATAAATATATGTTTTGATATTAACTTAGAACAATACAAAGGCAGACTTTTAAAAAAGAAATCTGTTTCTATTAGATTATGCACATTTAAACAATAAGTGGCTCAGGCAAAATAAGTCATTTTAATGTCATCCGTGATAGATTTTCTTTGACAGCTACTGTAAATTACAATTACACTGCTTCTCCCTGCACTTGAAAGTAAGCATTGCAATAAATTATCTTTTATTTCAATCCATCATGTCTGCCTTTCAGAAATAGAGCACCTCATATAAAAGTTCAGCACTGTTGTAAGAAAAATACAGTAATTTGTGCTAGTTTGAAACTAAAAATGTACCTTTCTTTAGGAAAAAGCCCACAATTGTGGGCTTTCAAAAATATTTGTAATTATACTTCATCATTCATTGTCATTAGAGGGAATCCCTGAACTTGTGCATTCTCTCAGACTGGGACTGCTTGCTACTTAAGGAAAATATCTGAAACTCTCCCTAAAGGAAAGTGTGTTTCACTTTTGGTAAGCGAATATCTTAGCCCTGAACAAATGCCTGATCGAAAGTATACATCCAAAAGAAGGGTTACACCAGTGCAGCTTATTGCCTTGCCTTCTGACTTGAGCAATTCTAATCAATGGGGCTAACCCTAATATTTTGTCATATACCCCTTTCAGGTGCTTCTGCATTAGAAATAAAATTTGCATCTTCATGTGTGTGGTCGTTTAAGGCTGCAGTCCTGTATACAGTTACCTGGGAGTAAATCCCTTTGCACTCAATGGGACTTACTTCTGAATAAGTACATAAAAGATTGTATTATAAGGACTGTAAGCCTTGGCTTGGTTTCCTATTGTCATCCTGGTCTCTCCTACCCCCAGCCCCCAGCCCTGTGTGTTCATCCACTTATGAGGAGCTGTATGGTTTTGGCTTTTACAGTTGCAGTCTTGTTTGCTTCAAGATAAGTATCTTCCCCACCACCGCCACTTTTTCAAAAAATGGTATTGGGTGTTGCTCCCCCAGCATGGAAGTTAGTAATGCTTATCTAGGTAATCAGGAGAGATGCAGAATTACACAAAGGGAGAAAGAGAAGGAGCAGTTCTGCAAACGTCACCTTTTGGACCAGAATGGGAGACAAAAATATAGAATTCAGGGATGATTAATAAGGAAATGCAGGCTATACCATACAAAAGATTGCTGCTGCTGCTGCTGCTACACTACATTTATATCTAACCCTTTTTTTTCCTCTTGCAAACACCCAGTGCCGCTTACATAGTCTCCCTCACTCCATTTTTATCCTCACAACAACAGCCCTGTGACGTAAATTAGGGTGAGAATCTGGGACTGGCCCAAAGCCACCTAGTGAGCTTCATGACTGAGTGGGGACTAGAACCTGGCTTTCCCATGTCCCTGGTCAATCATAGGAGCTTCTGCAAGCTCGTGTTCACAGATACAATTCAACCATGCAATTTCTTGATTTGAGCAAGCACCTGAGCCACCCTGGGATTGTTCACATGGACAGAAGATGTATTGTGCGAGTAGAAACATAGATTGCAAGGTATTTTGCAGTGCAGAACATGCAAGTCTAATGAGGTTCACATGCACCTCAAGCTGCTCCTGACCTGCAATAAAAACCTTGCCTCAACAAGGCTGCGGTTCACATCACAGCTATTTCCAGAAGGACAGCAGGCTAAACGAGGCTCCATGTTGAGGTGAAGCAAAATGGATTTTAAGAGGAGTATGCATTCAGATGGA